ACATTCTCAAAAGATCATCCCTTCTAACAAAAATACCATTATGGCATATACAAAAAAGAAACTTTATTAAAGAAAATCAGACAAAAATTACCACATTCTACCAAACCAAATAATGAAAAACTTCTTCCAGATACTTTTAACTCATTTTTACAATTTAATATCAATGTTGCCAAAATATTAAAACTTAAAATTATGCTTTATAAACAAATACTATCAATACACATATTCAGTTTCATCAAAAACAACCATTTCCTTCATGATGCTTCGATTTTTTTTTTTTTTTTTTTTAGAAAGAGTGTAAATATCCTGGTCATTTTTTGCCGTATGGGACAAACTTCTTATAATTTTTTTTTTTTTTTTCGAAAGGAGTGTAAGAGTTTCCCAAATGTAAGTATAGAACCCGAGAGACCGCTTTAGATTTCGTTATTTGTATAAAATTTATTTTAAAAAATGCCAGACATGTGGCCAATAAGCCATTAGTCTTGATTTTGATTCTCAATATTAAAAATAGCAGACTTAAAAGATAATAGCGTAGTGCATTCGTTAATATGTTCCTTATCTATGGACTGTCTAGAGTTACAAAGAATAAGGGTTGAAGAGTCTTTAAGTCGGATTTTAAAAAGATGGGCATTCAGACAATCGTGCCCAGCCAAAAGACGAAATAACGCCACTGCTACAGAACGAGGAAAATCTGGAATAACTGGCTTTGAGATAGTGTGACACTACCAGGCCTTTCCTTTTAACTTCATTTAATAGGCAGGAGGCAAACCTTCTCTTAAATTCTAATTTAATTAGGAATTTTGCAGAATTAAAAGTCATATGGTTATTAGGGGTTTGTCAGAAAATCGGTCCATTTCCTTTGATGCCACAATGAGCAGGAATCCACTGCAAGACAAATGAGTCAGCTAGAATGTTGAGAATCTTCCTACATTCGTAAATTCCTTCTGAAGTGCAAAATTTATTGTTGAAGATAACCTGCAAAACGGATTGTTACTAATTTTGTATTTAGATAGGTAATTTTAGTAGAATTATAATTAAAATTGCTGTATTTCTACGTGCAATGCAGCACGAGACAAATTTTAAGAGAAAGCTATGCCGAAAAAATAAAATTACAGAGTACGTGCATTTAACATTGAGTAAATTGATAACTCGGTAATTTGTATTGAAATTAAATAAATATATTTGACCACTATGATAGCTGTAACCGTAATTCCATCCTCTTATTGCTTTCTAGATATCTCGCTACCGGTTGAAACTTATAGAAGGCCGGAAAAAGAGCGTGTGAGTAGGTTGCTTAATTATTATTGTTACGAGTTGTGATTTCCGAGTGAATTGAGAAATCCGATTTAGCTTTCTCTTTAGATGTGCTTTGCATTTCGTTATATTTAACGTTTTTAGTAGTTTGAAGTATAACTGCTGATTATATTGAGTGATATAGTGAACACTTGTACGAATATCTCTGAGGAAAATTCCAGAGCTCTGATATATTAATTTTGATAAGAATACATTTTATTAACATCTTACCGGACTTGTGCGTTCAATCTGTTAAGAATCCGCACGCACGCAATAGTATAAAATATGTATAAGAAATGAAAAATAAAGAATATGTAAAAGCAATAGCTCTTAACGCCTAAATTAATTTCTTTTCTTTATTCTAAAAATAGTAATCTCTTTTTGCACTGCGTCATTTCGCGATTAATCCATGACATATGATTTTTACGTAACACTGCTTAACTATGTAACTAAAACCCAGACAGACAATAATAATTTTAGAGCAGTATTAATTATCCAATCAAAATGCATTAAGAACCAAAACTCGGTCTGAATTAAAATTTCATCTTGAACACAACGCACTTGCTTTCAACCCTTCAGCCTAGCTGGATTACTGCTTGCTATTATCGGCATATTTCCATTGAAATATTAGACCTGAAATTTTTCGCAATCACAGCACTTCTTTTACTTTGCACAAGGAATTAAGAATGAGGGGAAAAAAAGGTGCAGAATAATAATGAGCAGTACATCCAAAGAAAAAAATAAGCAACAAAATTGTCAATTTTTAAATTAAACCGATAGTAATGCAAAAAGGCATGCAAAAGATTTGAAACTTACGTTTGTTCAGCTTTAAACACATTAATGATGAGAGCAAAAAATGTTTTCTTACCATCAGTGTGTGCAGTATTTATTATTTATTTTTCGCCCAAAGGGCGTTAGCCCAGAAGAGCTAATAATTTCGTTTTGACATTTTGCTTGATTCGCAAAAATGTCGGTTCACTTTTCAAATTGTTGCCACCAAATATTATCGCCCCTGTGTTATATTTAAAGAAATTAAATAATGAAGCATCTGCTTAACTGTATGTATGTATCTCGCATTGTGATAAAACAGCGGTACCTAGAGCCATCCAGTTTTGGATAACGTAATCCTCCACCGAATATGAGCATCTGGAAGCCCTAATTTGGAACTTGTTTTATTATCGATTTTCATATTTTGTAACATTTTAACGAATTTTTTATTAACGAACTCAGCGATTTCAAAGCGAGCAATGGCAAGTCGTTGAGTCTGTTAAGCCAAAATTCGTCAAAATTTTACAAAATATGAAATAGACAATAAAACAAATTCGAAATTCAAAATTCTGGCTTCCAGGTGCCCATATTCTTATCGAGGATTACGTGATTCAAAACTTGATGGCTCTAGGTACCATCGTTTTTTTTCTCACAGTGCGAGAAACATTCATACATTTATGCGGGTTCTACATTATTTAATTTCGTTGAATATAATACAAGACGATAATACACTCACTTACAAAAGTTAAGCATATGTTTATCGTTTTCAGAATGCTAATTTCTAGTTTGTGCGTATTGAGGTGCGGTTGAAAGAAATAGCATTTAAAGAAAGGTTTTAGATTATAGAAACGCAGTGTGTTCCACCTGCTGAAGGCCGCGTTACTAGTTGAATCTCTTGACAGTGATTTAAATGGCAATGTTGCGTTATTCTCGCCATTAGGTTTATCACGCCAATATTAGGTTTGAGTCAACTTGCACGCATTCTGTCTGTGTAGCCTTTGAGGTAACTTACAATTTACTTAGTTCAGATAAAATTCGTTACTTTTAATTTATACCACAAATACCACAAATGCTGGCTGTACAAGCTATGCACAACCTGTGCCTTCTCTTAATGTACTCTGATTTTAATAAAAGGGTCTTTTACACCCTTTTCAAGTCTTGTGCAATTTCCAAGACATAGCGAGAAGTCGCTAATGTTTTCCTGAGTTCCCACTCAATTGTTTCCAAAGAGGGTGAGTGAGATCTTTTGGACACTTATTATCGCTTTTTGCTACCTCTGTTCATAATCATATTTTCAGTTATTTTCTTCTAACTACTTAATGCTGCCTTCTAAGAACTCGGGAACATATTTTATTAAATTTTTACAATGATTGATTTAATAATTTTTTAATTTTTTGAAAACGTCAGCTTGGATGGAATTTATCTTAACAAACTATTATCATATATAAAATATCTCTGATACTGATGTATTCATATGTATAGGTAACGGAGATTTTAATCACCTTCATGTGGACTTTTCTCTAAGTTATCACTGTCTCTGACTTGCATTACCATAGACTTAAAAAAAAAGTACTAATTTCAAAAGAAACATGTCTAAAGAAATATCAGTATCTCCATAAGAAACATCAACTTTATTTTAATTTAAATTATTAGGCGAATAAGAATCATTATTCCGTAAACTGTTTCTCCTTGGTTAAAACATTACTCCTTTATCACATTTGAAACGAACTGTTAACAATACAACTACTGTCTTGCATTGATTAACCAGGTTATATTTTAGTCTGTTTTATAACATATCAAGCGAATATTTGAATAAGTCTTTTTTTTTTTTTTTTTTTTTTTTTTCTGTCTGCGCAATTTCAACTGGAAAAGATTGAATTGAATCCTTGTCAATTTGGTTGACGTGAAATCTGAATTTTTAGAAAATAAAATTCTGATTCGAAGCTGAGCATCTATTAAAACTATCTCACTTTTCAAAATCAAAGCTACAATAAAATTTCGAGCCATCCACATATTCAGAAAGAACTAATTCTTGTGCTCTAACGGTGATGTAGCGTACAACTGCAACAGGTCCACAGTTAAAAGTTTAAACTCTTATCTTGAACTATGCTACGTCTTCAAATTGCATAACTTTCTACTCAGAACGAAAATTACGACATGAGACCAGAGAGATAGGAATAGTTTTTAACTCAAAATTCTAACTATAAGTGAAACTTAAGAGTAATGATCACAACTGTTAGCTGTAATAATTTTAACGGTAAATTTAATAAAATATTTTAGTTGTAAACGGAAAATTGCAGCATTCTAATAGGAATTTTCACAAAACTTCATATATAATTAACTAAAAAACTTCAGTAATTTCACTTGATGAAGTCTAAAATAGCTTTTTAATATAAATAATAATTGGTTAATGTAAATAATAATTAATAAAATAATAAATCATAATAAATTTTTTTTTCTATTTTTAATAAAAAAGCAGTTTTAACATTGAATATCAAAATCGTTTGCTTATACTGATATTAATTTTTTTAAGAACTCTCAGCGTGTCAACTAATTAATTTCATAACAATGAAAACCTAAAATTACCTCAGCATTTTTGGATTGATTTTCTTAATTCTTTGAAAACTAGCAAAATATAAATGATTTGTTTGCTGGTTAATGAACTTTAACAAAGCAAGTGGTATATGACAAAAAAGCATATAATGACGCATAGAGTTATGAGGAACATCAAGCAAACTGATGAGAAGTGTCCCCGCATTAATTTAATTACATTAACGATAACGTAACACTTTCACTTTTTGGGCAAAATAAAACGAAGAAACTTATTATATAGCAAATTTCTCTCCGAAAGATACTCCTTTGTATTGCAAGATAAGGAATTCTGATAAGTAAAATAAAAAGCAATTCTAGACATTGATATTATTGAAATGGGAATCATGTAAAGATAAGAGAAATGTTCATCCTGATCGCAGTAAGTAGTAATTCTGTAACTCGCAAGCAGTTCAAAAAATTCAGCTAAATATCTATTAAACTTAGTACATACATTTCACTTAAATTTCGTATGTTGGGCAATGGATGAATATTCTACGATGAAGATCGAAAATGCGCTTTCGGAAGATCCGTGATGTAGGGGAATTTAAGCAAATTGTAGCTCAAACCACTGTATATTTGCATGCTCCAATCGCAGGTAAGTTGAAAATTTTTACTTAAGACTTATAACAATGATTACTGTAAAATCTTAGAAACTTTTTACATTTAAATGTTACTTTTTATCTATGTTTCTATGCAACTATCTATTTTTTCTAGGGAGGGTAGATTAAAATTAAATTATTCTATCGAAAGTAAAGTACTTCCTTTGTACATGTTTACATGGTACTGCCAAATTTACTTTGCTTACTTAAATAGAATTTAAAACTGTACTGAGCAAGGATATTATACAACTGGAAACATTGTTTTAATAAAAATTTGATTAATTTAATATTTCCCATACAGTCCAGATTCTTTATTTAAAACTGATTGTTAAACGTATGAAATATGAAGGCTGTACATATGAGATGTAAAATGTAGAATTTTATCTCTCATATATATATATATATATATATACGTACGAGTATGTAAACAATGACTCACATTTGTTTACGGGCCTATGTATGTTTTAAATTTATTTGCATAGATTTTGTTCTAAATACTGAAACACAGACTTCAAAAATTTTTAGAATATATTATTTTTCCTGCATTCTAAACCTTGCTTGCTGCAAAATAAATACCAACAAAATATTCTTTGTAATAAAAGAATCTATTCAAAAAATGTTAACTAGTAACTTAATAGTAATTCGTACCCTCGAATGTTTTGTTGAGATATTTTGGCAGACGATGTTTCTAGTCAAACATTTGTTTTAAGGAAAATGCATCACAAGAATTATTGTATGCGTTTGAATAATGATATTAGAGTCTTGTTTAGTAAAAAAAAATATTAGCAGTTCCATATAAATTATCTTTGATGTTATAAAACGGTAGAAATTGCATGTAAGTGTTAAAGATGCACTGCATTCCAAATTAATACCAAGGAATTGATGGTTCGTACTACGCAAAATGAAGTAAAACCCCAAAATTTAGTGCTGAAAAACTTGAAGAGGATTTAGAAGAAGAGTTTGCAATTAAAGTTAACCCTGAAGCTATTAAAAGAGTCCTTACAGCACATATATATAATGTGCAATCATCAGGAAAACAGTTCTACAACAAAATTAAAAAAAAAAAAAATACTCCTGGAGTTCACGAAACACATGTTAAACAATGATATATCATATTGGATATTTTTAGACGAGACAAATTTTTATATAATTGGATCCGTTATATAGTTTTATATAATTGGATATCACAATTACTGTATGGCTAAATCTGAACCAAGAAACCGAGATCTTTTCGAAGTACACGTGGTAAATTGATAACGTTAAAATTTTCAAAGTTTGTAAGTGTTACGAAAAACAAATCTGTAAACTGCAGGTCTCCAAAGCTTCTGCTGCAATTAAACTATTTTGCTAATAACGCAATTTTTTCCCCCATATTTGATATTTTAGTACAAATAGTTGCAATCTCAGAAATCAAAATAATATATATTTAAAAGCATTTTTAGTTTTCCTTCATATTCAGATTGAGCAGGGACTTTATTCTAAGAATTGATATATTTGTCCGAGAACTGTGGCTGACTCTGAATAAATTGCACTGAAATCTTTTCCTGAATTTTTACGAAGATCTTGTAATATCTCTATTATATCTATGTATTCTAATTGAAGATCTTAAAATATCGTAGTATAAATAAATTGCTGCAGTAAGACCTATCGACTTCAACTGTAAAATTTACTTAACGACAATGTATATGAAAATATTCTTGAAAGTGAAAATAGTGCAATCACAGAAGCAGAATATTTCAATGAATCGAGAATATTAGCTTCAGAAAGTGATTTGTTATTCCGCCATTTCTCTATAAGAGCATGAACCAAAGTCTTAAGTTATTTTACCATAACCAGAACAGATTTATCTCTTTCCATCTAACAAGTGAGACAAAGTTTATTCAGATTTTCTATTCTTAAAGATGAGCAATAAATTTGATATATTTTCATGTAAATTAAAATTTTTTTTTTCGAATTATACATGAAAAGACAACATTTTTCCATCAGTCCCATGCAGTTACGAATATCCTCAATGTGATAGGTAACGGAAGACGATTATCCCTGATGTCTAACAGAGGTAAGCAAGTATTTATCCCATATCTTCCACTATCTGGTGATAATAACACCTAGCTTGAAAGTCCCAAGGACGCCTTACTGAGGGTACATTAATAACAAATTTATATATAAGTATGGAAGTGGCAAGGGTTCTGCTCATATACAAGAGTTTTTTTGTGTTTAGAGGGTAATGTCTAATATTATACGTATGACAATAAGATGTATGTATAATATATACAGTACATAACCTGAAAATATAATATAGTTAAAACATATAACACTATAACTAAATAAAACACTTCAAACATAACTGTATTAAACATTAAAAGTGTACAAAAAATATAAGTTTACAGTCATTTAAATTAAAAGTATGATGTGGACACCACACAAGTTCCTTATACGGACTATTAAATAATACACATCTTTTGCTGCGCTTCATTTATACTTATTTTCTCGAATTTCATTAGAAATGGATTTCTCGTTTGATCAATTCAGTTCTCACTTCGCGGCAAGGCATGACTTCAAAGCAATAGCCGTATCGTCGGCGTAACAACCAATATAAATATTAATACCTGTCAAAGGCGTCGGAAAATCAGCAACATAAAAGAGATAGAATATAGGCCCAAGAAGCCTCCTCAGTTTCGATAGCTTTAAGTTTTATAGCTTGTTTAAGAGGGTGTTGATAGAGTCGTTTAAGCTTGTCAGTGACGCCTGGAGTCCCTCTATTGTTCTCTCTCTTATCTTATCTTTAGAGTCGTATTCGGCTGTACTTAGCTTTCTTTTAACTGTCTGTTTCATTAAAAGGTTTCTTAGTAATTAATGATAAATATTCTTAACAGATGTTTTTAAACTTGACTATAAAACTACTAATGTTGTAAGAATTGTAAGAACTGGAGGCTGCCTTCATCCCACCTGGACACGAGTGTCCCCATAGCTCAAAAGAAGGGGCCCGTATCTCCACAAACGAGATCAGCCAGTAACCCAGCCACCCCCAAGCAACAACAAAAATACTAAATTAAAAATAAGTAAGCACATCTAACACAAAATTACAAACCAACCAACCAACAAACAAACATACAAAAAAAAAAAAAAAAAATCACAACATAGAACACCACAGATATCTAAAACACATATAAATACAGAATTCAATTTTAACAGAAGATTCCTACAAGCGCCCTATTTTCAATAATAAATTTCATTAGAGCAATAGTATATGATTTAAAAACTTTTAAATTAATGGCACTTAGATTAAATTCAGTAAGGTTAAAAATCTGTCTAATAGGGGCTGTTAAACTACAATCAACCACACAATGCCTAGCATCACCATCAACCTGACAACTGTTACATAGTTTATTTTCCTACAAATCAGTTGAAATAGAACGGAAACTTACCATGTCCATTTAAAACCTGATTAACATCAATATTGTTCATACATTTCATTTTGTTCGGGATTTTAATTAGTTCCATAATTTTTTTGTTTTTAGATAAAGAAAACCACTGTATTTTCCATTTGTTAACGTAAAATTCTTTCATTCTTCGAATAGCAACTCTCTTCGAACCTGTTACTTCAATATCCATTGCACTGACATTTGAGACAGCCTGCTTGGCCAGGCTGTCGGCTCGCTCATTGCCAATAAAGCCTATATGGGCTTTATTGGTAAATAAACCCAATGTAGCTTAATATTTAAATATGAACTCAAAGTTTCTAAAGACTCTTAATTTTGACAACTAATGGATTGAAATTGTCTGGGCGGGAGAGCGCATGGAGAAGTGACAGGCAGTCAGTGTAAATATTTACAGACCTGGGTATAAACAAGGTATCTTTAATTCTTTAATCTATAATAAGGCTTTGTTTAAATGCTTCACTTTCTGCCTGGAAAACTGAATTATATATGTTCGACTTAAACATTCTATAATCCACTTAGTTCCATAGTAAAAAAAAAAAAAAAAAAAAGGGCTCCCTCCGCTTCCTCCGACCCCAGAACCATCTGTATAAATATCAAATACATCAACAGTTGGATTACTTTTATCAAAAACTAAACCAAATCTATTGGAAGGATGTATTAAATGAATATTAAATTTTTCAAAAACATTCTTTGTAACTAAATAATCTTCATACATTTTCAGTTCCATTCGTTCAGATCTAAATAAAAATTTCTCATAGTAAAATTCGTATAAAATTGAGAGAGGAGGCAGCCGAGCCAACACAAAGACGGCCTCGGTAGGCATCGTTCTAAAACATCGGGTTAAAGCTAAACCCCAAGCTCTCTGAATACTGTCTAACTTCATCCGTAATCTAACCAATTCCCCTGCCCTGAATCTCCAGGCTCCAGTTCCATACATGATGATTAGAAGCACTACATTTAAGTAAATCTTCCTCAGAATGGAGAATTTCAAGGCTAAAATCTCAGCTGAAAAAGTTCTATAATTTAATAAAATCAGATCAATTCGTCTTCGTACGAACTTAAAATGTTCTATAAAATTTAATTTGCTATCAGTTATAACGCCAAGATATTTCATATTATCTACAAATTTGATTCTTTTGCCTTGATATTTCAAATTTGGTGGTCTAGTCTTTTTATCTCTTCTGGGAAAAAACAATGAACATATTTTTTCAATATTAAATTGTAATTTTTCTTTGTTTTGACAATTACTTAGTATTAGAGCAGTTCCATCAAATAATTTTCCGATTTTTTCAAGGGAATCGTGTTTTATAAGAATCATAATATCATCAGCATATGAAATTAATTCCACATTTTGAGAAAACTTCTGCTTCAGCAAGTTATCCACAATAATGTTCCAGAGCAGGGGAGCTCTGCAGGAGCCCTGAGGGCATCCCTTATAAATATTCATTACTAAGTCTTTACTCTTATCCTTAAAACAATTAAAAAATTTTCTATTACTAAAATAACTTTTAAATAGATAAAACAAATTTCTAGGTATTTTTAAATCAATTAAACCA